GAGCGAGCCTCCGCCTGCATTGGCGAGCCCGCTCGCCGTGGGGGCTGCACCCCGTGTCTCCCCGGACCCGCGGCCCCGCGTGGCCCGCACGACGGGAAGTGGAGAGGCTCTTGAGGGCCAGGACATGGGTCACTGAGAAACCGATACCGTAGGCCAGCGGTTTGGGGCTGGGGGGTGGGGGGACAGCAGAAGGACGGACGGACGGACGGACGGACATGTGAAAGAGCCTATGTGAAAAGACACGTGAAAGACCCCTTTTTAAACAGCCTGCGTCTGTCGATTTTTTTGCCTCTGGTGATCAGGAGCCCGCAGTCTCTTAGTTAATCAATACTCCTCCTGGGAGCTCACAGTACCGTGGAAGGTATTCGTAGTGATGCAGCGATGATACTGTGTAGCTTTCTGCCGATTCAGATGTCCCTTTTTGGCCTGATACTGATATGGCCTTCTGTTCAAGAACTTGCACTAGAAAAACCAATGGAATGTATTCGGAAATGCTTTAAAATTTGCAGCTGCTGGAAACGGAAAGGGGAAAGGGGGACGCTAAGAATGCACGGTGCGTACAAGAAGGCTTAGGTTGGGACTTAAGTGCTTCGGGCGCCGTGGTCGTCTTTTAAGGCTTTTGAGAAAAATGAGCAACAGCTGTTAAATCCCTTCCTCCCCCCTCATGTTTATAACCTCATTCTAGAATTTAAAAATTTGGAACTTACACTGTTCCCTCTGAGGCTTGGTGGCTAGTGCCTTTACCTGCTGAGCCATTTTGCATTTTAAAGACTCAATAGTTGGTGCTGTTTGTATCTTAGAGTTGAATTGAGGAAAAGAGATTTTGTGAATCAAGTTATAAAATTCAGATTTGTGCATTTTCAAGGAGAAGCAGAATCTTCTGTTATGTGATAAGAATCCTGCCGGGCGGTGGTGGCGCACGCCTTTAATCCCAGCACTTGGGAAGCAGAGGCAGGTGGATCTCTGTGAGTTCGAGGCCAGCCTGGTCTACCAAGTGAGTTCCAGGAAAGGCGCAAAGCTACACAGAGAAACCCTGTCTCAAAAAAACAAACAAACAAAAACAAAAAGGAATTCTGTGTAAGACATAAGCTCTGAAGATTATGCAGACATTGTAAATATATAAACAAAGTTCAATTTCTGAGACATAATTGTTTAAAATGAGGAAACAAGGTCTGTCTGTGAACATCCTACTTAGTCTCTAAAAACCGGTTGCCAAAACCACTTGTTATAATAACCCCTCTTCTTCTAACAGCCACAGATGACTCATCTGTGGATGAGACATGGAGTAATTTGTGGATTGTAAAGCTAGCTAGCTAGCTTGCTAGCTAGCTAATGACTTAAGTTTATATATATTACTTACGTGGTTTATGGTAACAATCAATGATATATAGTGTTTTATGTGCTTCCATGGGCATATAAAAAAAAGATGTCAAGTCAAATGCACTGTGTTTAATGAGTTTTCATCATTTAAGTCATTTTCTAAAATTCCTTTTAATTTTTAAAATAGCATGCTGATTGTTAGGCAAGTGTTTAATAGGCCCCAAATAAAATGAATATTGAATTTACAGTATAGAGGGATTGTGTTTCCATGTAATATATACTTAGTTTTTTTACCTTACATATTTGAGTCTGCAATCCCTATCATTTTATAAGAAAATGTCATAGCATATGAAAGTATGCTTAGTAAACCATTAATGTGGTGAGTTGTAGGAATGAAGAGTTTTGTTAGTCTAAGGAATAACATATTGCCAAGTTAGGGCTGGATATGTCATCTGTTCAAAGGTTTCTAGGGATACAAAGCTCCCTTCTCCCTAAATTTAATAATCTAGTAAGATTAGTTCATCTGTACCAATAGTACAGCGGTGCAGTATTTTAACTTTTTTTTACTGCACTCAAAATAGAAGATGTCTATATGAGTTGAATTGTGTGTGTATTTCAGCATATGCCCTTAATGTACATATATACTCTTTTCTTTTTCTTACTTTTCCCTCTGTGTGTATGTGTCTAGTGGTATGTGTATGTCAGTGCAGGTGGGTATGGAGGCCAGAAGTGTGGGATACCCCCTGGAGATGGAGTTGAAGGTAGTCGTCCGTGTGTCCGTCCCCCCCCCCCCCACAGGGTTTCTGTGTGTAACTTTGTGCATTTTGTGCATTTCCTGGATCTCACTCTATAGCCCAGGCTGGCCTGGAATTCACAAAGATCTGCCTGCCTCTGCCTCCCAAGTGCTGGGATTAAAGGTGCACACCACCACTGCCCAGCCTAGTTGAAGGTAGTTATGAGCAGCCCACCATGAAAACAGTAGATGCTATAAATAACTGAGCCACCTCTGCAGCCCAAATACAGGGTCTTCTATATCGCTCAAGCTGGCTGGACTTTATGTAACCCAGTCGAGTCTCCCGAGTACTGAGATTACAGTTGATTATCCTTTTCAGTCAGGGCCTTCCTCTGTTGCCCATTATAGAGCACTTGATCTTACTGCAAGTATTTCACAAAAGCTGAGGTTAGAGGCTTGTGACACTGCACCTGCCTGACTTGGGTGTTTTCTGGGGTTTTTTTGTTTGCTTTTTTTTTTTTTTTTTTTTCTGTTGAAAGAAATCAGAAGCTATCTTGAAGCAGTCTTTAGTTTGGAAAAAAAAAACACTGATGTATAGGAGAGATAGTAATTATTACAATAGCAATATGGATGAGAGTGCTTGCTGCTCTTGTAAGGGAACCAAGTTTGATTCCCAGCACCCATGTTGTGTGGCTCACTGCTGACTGACTAAAGTTCCAGCATATTCAGTGTCCTCTCTGATTTTAGGCACCCACGCACTCAGGCGTACACATGTATGTGTAAAAATATGGGCAGATACTAGAAAAAAAAAATAAGGATCTGGGGTTATGCTGAATGTTTCTTGAAAAATTCTGTGATATCTAGTGGACAAGAGTTACCTATTCACTATCCCTCTTACATTATCTTTACTAATAGAAAAGTCATTTTGTCCAAAGCAGCAGTGTACCCAATTCCAGTTAAGGGATTAGAATACTATAAATGTTGTAAGGCTCTGGGAAAGCTTTTGCTTTTTCTCATTAAAAAAGGACAGTATACTAGTGTGCTTCTGCTGATCATTTTCTTCCTAATTGAATTTGAACATTTCTTTAATCTATCTATCTATCTATGACTTCTATCTATGAAGTAATCAATAGGGATTAGCCAAGAAAATTAAGTGCCAACATTGACAATTGCAAGCTGCTAACACAGTGCTTCTCAACCCTCCTAATTCTGTGACCCTTTAATACCGTTTTTCATGTTGTGGTGACTCCCGTCCATAAAATTATTTTTTTTGCTACTTCATAACTGATTTTGCTACTGTTAAGAATTGTAATGTAGGGCTGAAGAGATGGCTCAGTGGTTAAGAGCACTCACTGGCTGTGTATTCCCAGCAACCACATGGTGGCTCACAACCATTTATAATGGGATCTGAAGCTCTCTCTGGCATACATGGCGGAATACTCATACCAAAAAAATACATAAACAAAGAATCGTAATGTAAATATCTGTGTTTTCAAATAGATAACCCCTGTGAGAGGGTCATTCAACCCCCAAAGGGGTCCCAACCCACAGGATGAAAACCACTGTACTAACACAATGCCAGCTTCTTGGTGGCATGATGAAATATCATGTGAGCAAATAAATTTCTTGTAGATGTGTACAGAGTATGGTCTTTAGGACCATATGTGTCTGAGGATAGCTATGAATGAGAATAGTAGTCTAACAAAGTAGACTTACTTAAAACATTGCATGAGTTAAATTTGCGGGGGGATGGAGAGTTTAACTCAGTTGCAGAGTTCTCATTATCTTTGTAGATGATAATGGTATGTTACAGTATCAAAAGGTTGGGTACACCTGAACTATTGCCAGGTATTTCTGGCCTTGTAGCACGTGCTTGTAATCCCAGGTACTTGGGAGACTGACAGGAGGATTGATAGATATTATCAATAGAATTTCTGTTATTTGTAGACAAATAAATCAATAAAATGTGCTAATTTTCCTATCTATATTTGTAGTAGGCAGACAGGGCTTTAAAAAGTGTGGAGTTGGAGACCTGGGTCAGTGTTTGAGAGCACTTGCTGTTCTCACAGAAGATCCAGATTCAGTACCTAGCCCCCACATGGTGTCTCATACCATTTGTAATTCTAGTTCCAGGGGATCCAGCATTGTCTTCTGACCTTGGGGATTAGGCATGTACGTGGTGCACATACATGCATGCAGGCAAAGCATTCGTGTGCATAAAATGAAAAAATAAATCTACAGAAAAAAAGGTTTGGTCATGACCAATAAGTTCACTAGCATTTGGAATCTGTTTCTCTTTTGTGTGTGTATGTGTGTTTCTGCAGATCATTAACTGAAGACCAAATAAGTAGCTATGCAAAATTCTCACATGGATGAGTACAGAAACTCTGATAATGGCAGCACAGGCAACAGCTCAGAGGTAGTGGTAGAACATCCAGATTTTAGTACTGAGATCATGAATGTTACGGAGATGGAACAGTCACCTGATGGCTCTCCCAGCGTGAATGCATCCACAGAAGAAAATGAAATGGCAAGTGCTGCGGACCTTCCAGTGACAGAAACAGAAGGAAACTTCCCTCCAGAATTTGAGAAATTTTGGAAAACAGTAGAAACTAATCCTCAGGATTTTACAGGCTGGGTATATTTGCTTCAGTACATAGAACAGGAGGTTAGTAACTATTTAAATGGTGTATGTAAGAGGGATAGAATAATCCAGTAGTATCAATTCAAGCCTTTCTGTTTTGTAATTAAAGTTTAATCTCTTAAATAATCTTCAGATTAAGTTCAGTAATGATAAAAGCATATATTTCAGCTTTGAAAATTACATAGGATTATGCATTGTGTAAAGTACGTAGACACAATGCTGAATATTGTGTAGTAATTGAGGTTTGTGTGTGGATATGTAAAATTAGTGAAATAGTTACCTTGGGGATGTGGGAGTGCACTTAAGTAAGGTGGAGTACACTGGCCTAGCATCTGTGAGAGCCTGGGTTTATCCCCAGCTCTGAGGGGAAAAAAAGCTACCCTGCTATTTGACAAAGTTAGTAATTATTCTTTCTTTGATAAAAACTTCTAAGATGTTTAGACACTTTGTTTTATTTTCATCAGAATCACTTGATGGCTGCCAGGAAAGCATTTGACAAATTTTTCATACACTACCCGTATTGCTATGGTTACTGGAAAAAGTATGCAGACCTTGAAAAGCGACATGACAACATTAAACAATCAGATGAGGTGCGTACATCAATGAATACAGTTTTCTCTGTTAGGTACTGTAAGCCAATTAATAACAAACACTCTTTTTTCTCTGGCTGGCAGTACCTACCATTTATGATCAGACATTTTTTATAGGGTATTTTATTTGCATTTGTCACTATTGTGGCATTTGTAGCTAATATTGTCTCTCTTTGTTGGCAGGTGCGTTAACCTCTACAGTTTGTCAAGCTTTGCAGTGCAAGCCTCTGTATTACACTGCAGCTTAACAAGTAGGGCAGGGCTTTTCTCTCACTTACATTTGATTCTCAATTTCCAAACAATAGAGTTGGTTTGCTAGTCACATTTGCTACGTCTTATTGCATTTTTGGTCAGACGCTGTCATTGATGCTCTAATGGGTCTGTGCCCTATGGTCTGTAACCCAAAGCCTGCCCACACAACCCGGTCAGAATGCAGGGACTGCTGCGCTTTGAAGATCAAGACTCTGCACGTGGGGATCAGAACATTGCCATGTTCTATCCAACCTCCACCCAAATGGTAATGGTAGATTATTTAAACAAAATTCCAGTAATTAGTATTTCTAAGGTTCACCGGATAACACAGTGTTGCCTCTCTTTTAAGAAATAATTAAATATTTGAGGTACAGTTTATTGTTTTCTTCTTAGGTTTATCGACGGGGGCTTCAGGCAATACCTCTTAGTGTTGACCTTTGGATACATTATATAAACTTCTTAAAAGAAACATTGGACCCTGGTGATCCTGAGACGAACAATACAATAAGAGGGTATGGTAAATATTTGATACTTAATGTATTTTAAGATACTTAGATGAGTGTTCACTTGTTGATAAGAAAACTATTCATGAATGCTAAACTGGAAATTAATATTTATTTGCTTCATTCCTACTATTTAAAAAACAGCACATAAGCCGGGCGGTGGTGGCGCACGCCTTTAATCCTAGCACTCGGGAGGCAGAGCCAGGCGGATCTCTGTGAGTTCGAGGCCAGCCTGGGCTACCAAGTGAGCTCCAGGAAAGGCGCAAAGCTACACAGAGAAACCCTGTCTCGAAAAACCAAAAAAAAAAAAAAAAAAAAAAAAAAAACAGCACATAAAATAAACTTATGCTTTATTGCATAAAAAAATACAATCTTCCTCTTTTCCACACCCCCTTAACTTAGTTTACAAGTTTACATTTTGCTCACTTGTGGTCAGTGTCTTTTTTTTCTTTTGGTTTTTGGAGACAAGGGTTTCTCTGTGTAGCTTAGCGCCTTTCCTGGAACTCAACTCTGTAGTCCAGGCTGACCTTAAACTCACAGAGATCCGCCTGCCTCTGCCTCCTGAGTGCTGGGATTAAAGGCGTGCGCCACCACCGCCCGGCTTCTTTTCTTTCTTTCCTTTCCTTTTTTTTTAAGATAGGGTTTCTCTTTGTATCCCTGGCTGTCCTGGAACTCTCTCTGTAGACCAAGCTAGCCTCAAATTTAGAGATCCTTCTGTCTCCTCCTGAGTGCTGGGATTAAAGGCCTGTACTACCACCGCTTGGCTAAGGCAGTTGGTTAGCTTTCTTTTTTCATGTCTGCATGTATGCCTGTATATCACCTGTGTGCCTGATGTGGCCCAGGAGACCAGAGAGGGCATTGGATCCCCTGAAACGGGAGTTACCAACAATTATGGGCTACGATGTTGGTGCTGGGAATTAAACCTGGGCTCTTTGGAAGAGCAGCAAGTGAGCCATCTTTCCAGCCCCACAGTTAATGTCTGTGCCTCCAGATACAAATTTGTATGTGAATTTTACATATTCTTCAAGTTTTTAACAGGATGTTTTATAATCTCTCCCAAACATTCTTTTAACTTGCAAAAATACAATGTTAAAGTCCTATTTTTATTTGACCAAACTTTTATTATAGGAAATAGTGCTGCAGAAATGTCTCCGAGTGTATTTTATGGAATGCATTAAAAATAGAACATGTTTGCAAAGATATTTTATCAAATGGTCCTCAAAAATGGTATCAATTTTACGCTCTCACAAATTCATGGAAATAGTCACTTTTCCATGGCCTTTTCACATACCCACCCCAACTTTCCTTTAATATGCATGTATTAGGGTTGGAGAGATGGCTCAGCAGGTTAGAGCAGTTATTGCTTTTAAAAAGAATGCATGCATTCCCATTTCTTACCTTTTCAATATAGCTATAGGATAGGCTTTAGTTAATCTGTTTATTATGTATATGTATTTTAGTCATTTTGAGTCTGAGTATTTTTTTATCATACTCATCTTTAATAGTCGTATTTTCCCTGGGGTTACTACTTCTCACTCAACAATGTTTCTCATTTGTCTAAAAAAAGGCTTTTCTTACAGCTTTCCAAATAGGTCTGTTGATAATCTGTAGATCTTATTTCTGTTTCCCTCACCCTCGTGTAGCTGTCTCTCTTCTTCTGCAGTCTGTACTCCATGCTGTCATCTAGTTCTGCCACACAGTTTGGGTTTTCTCATCACCATGGTTCTAGGAAATGTCTGCACTTTATTCCTAGGTTTCAGGCTCTGTTGATTGAAGTTTGATAGATACTTTTCTTTCTTGTTTATGCCCATCTTGTAGAAGTATAGCCAGTAGCTTCTTCATAGAGCATACCTGAAATAAAAAATAAAAGACATTCAGGTTTTTGTTGAAGAAATCCTGTTGGTCTAAGGCTTACACTAAGCAATTTCTTCAGAGGAGGAGCAGCTGATCTGCCTGATGAATGTAAACCTAAGTTCTGAAATCTCACAGCTGGTCAGAGTTAAAGCTTCCCCACCAAAGATTAAGCAGACCTTCAGCTAACCCTCTTCCTTTATTATGTTGTCATTCTTTCCCCAGGTTTCCTCAGTGTCTGGTAATTCTCTGGATTCACTGAGATTGTTCTAGGGAAGTAACATCTTTCTTCTTACATATAAACATGCATCTGCTTGCACATGCACACTTGGACACTTTAAATTTATCTTTGTATAGTAAACATTTCTTCCAGTACTAATATGTCTTTAAACTTTGTTTTTTGCATGGTAAAATGACTTACTGGTTAAAAGCACTTAGTGTTTTTTAGAGGACCCAAGTTTAGTTTCCAGCACCCATATCAGATGTCTCAGCAATCTGTAAATCCAGGTTCAGGATATCCAGTGCGGTATTCTGGATCCTGCATATACCCATACAGACACACATACATACATAAATAGAAATACTAAAAATACTAAAAAAGAAAAGTAATAAACTTTTTCAGTGTCTTTATTATACTTTTTTTCTTAATGTATTAAAATACTCAGTCATGAATGGTGGCACATGCCTTTAATCTTGACACTCTAGAAGCATGGGTGGGCAGATCTCTGTGAGTTTGGAATAGGCCTGGTCTACATAGTGGAGTCCAAGCTAGCCAGGGCTACATCAGGAGACCTGTCTTTAAAAATTAAGCATTGGCCGGGCGTGGTGGCGCACGCCTTTAATCCCAGCACTCGGGAGGCAGAGGCAGGCGGATCTCTGTGAGTTCGAGGCCAGCCTGGACTACCAAGTGAGCTCCAGGAAAGGCGCAAAGCTACACAGAGAAACCCTGTCTCGAAAAAAGCAAAAAAAAAAAAAAATTAAGCATTGGATTCTTGAGTTTTGTCTTTCTTGCCAAGAATATATAAATTCTGTATTTTTAATTTAAAGAATTATTTTATGTATATGGGTGTTTTTGCTTGCATGTGTGTCTTTGCAACATGTGTGTGCCTGGTGTCTGTGGAGGCCATAAAAGGATGTTGGCACCCCTGTAACTAGAGTTACAGATGATTAAGCCACCTTGTGTGTGCTGAGAATCAAACCTAACTGCTAGCCATCTCTTAAGCCCTGTACTTTTAATTTTAAATACTTTTCTGTCATTCATCTAGCTGTTGTGACATACACATTAACCCTTCCCTTTGATAAATAGTTCAGTCTGTGTTGATTTAAAATGCCTGCTTTGCTCACTCCTTTAATCCCAGCACTCAGGAGGCAGAGGCAGGCGGATCTCTGAATTCAAGGCCAGCTTGGTCTACAGAGCGAGATCCATGACAGCCAGAGCTGTTAGATAGAGAAACCCTGTCTTCAAAAACCAAAAGAGAAAATAAATTAGAAAAAAAATGCCTCCTTTTATATACATTAAATTCTCACACATTCATTTTTCTGTTTTTTTCTTTCTTGGACACTAATCTGTTTAAAAAATAATTTATATTTTTATTTTGTGTGAATAAGTGCTTTTTACACACATGCATGTATACCATACCTATGCCAGGTGCCCAGGAAACTATGTCTCAAATTCTTATGATAATTTCAGGAAATGCTTAACTGCATTACCTTTATATAAAAATATTTGTATCTTATAATACTAAATAAAATTCGAATTTGAATTTTCTGTTCTGCCTAAAATTTGAGATTGTGTTAAAATTATAAGATAATTTAGGGGTCTGTTTGGGGTAAAAGAGCCTAGTTTGTTTTGTTTTCATTTGACTTTGTACAATATTTGAAATCTACGTATATGTATGTGGGGAGAGGTTTATGCCACAGGTCAGTTAGTTCTCTTCTTCCAGTGAGTCTGGAGGATTGAACTCAGGTCCTCAGGCTTGCTAGCAAGTGACTTTACCTGTTGAGAAAACTCACTGGCCCTTGGTTGATTTTTTTTTTTTTTTTAAGGTGTTTATTTTGAAACTATGCACCAAAAAGTGTTTTTTGTTTTAATTTTCATGTGTACTGGGTGTATATGTGTTGGATCCCAGAGCTGACTTTTTAGGTGTTTTCCTCAGTCACTTGACAACTTATTCACTGAAGTGGGATCTCAGTTGGACCCAAAGCTTGCCACTTTTGTTATTGGGATCCCCTGTGTCTCCATTCCTAGTGCTGGAATTAAGGCTAGGCTACCATACCCATCACCTAGTATTTAGAAGGGTTCTGGACATTTGAACTCTAGTCCTCATTTATGTAGTTAGCATTTAACTTGATGAGCCATCTCCCAAGTCATGAAGTTTTGTTTATTAAATGTCAGATCTAGCAATTAAACAGATATCTCTTGCGTAAAAAAATACTTGATTCCACAATGAAAGTTTAAAATTGAAAGATGCTTTTGAGAGTTCTATGTATACTTCTCATTAGTTTATATGATGATTTGAGTCCCTTGTTACAGTCATTTTTGCTGGAGTATTCCTTGAATTGAGGTAGTTTGTCTATGAATTCTTCAATTTTGTTCTCTGTCCTAAAGGACTTTTCAAATACATAACAGATAACTTCATCTATCATGTTCCTCTTACTTTGGAATGTATGCATTACACTCATCTTTTCCCTTTGTTTTTTCTCACTTATTCTTCCTTTAAACAATTCTTTTATGATTCCTTCTACTTTTTAAATCCATGCTTGCCTAGGAAGCAACTGAATATAACTTTGATTTCAATATTACTTTCTAAATTTAGTAATAATATTTAGAAGTGATTTTATTTGGAGAAGATAACTTAAAAGTAATTTAATTTTTCAGAACTTTTGAGCATGCTGTTCTAGCTGCAGGAACAGATTTTCGATCTGACAAACTATGGGAAATGTATATAAACTGGGAAAATGAACAGGGAAATCTGAGAGAAGTTACAGCTGTGTATGATCGGATTCTTGGTATTCCAACACAGCTGTACAGTCATCATTTTCAGAGGTATGTGGAAAGATCTTTTCTTTGAAATATCTTTGGTTGTTTATTTAGGTGATCAGTTCCCAATATTGAGCATTACAGTTTATTTTGAAATGCTGTATAGGATTTTAGTAGATGAAACTAATTTTCTAGAAAATAAAAATTTATGCCTTAACTTTGACATTTCACTTGTATTTTATGAAATAATAATTTACTAGTTTTGTTTAGAAAGTTTTCTTTGTCCATTTTATAGCTGAGGTACTTTAGAGCAGTGAAGAAATGAGAAAACAGAGTTTAATAAATTATTATTTGTAATACTAAATTTATATGGTGCTTGGCAAATATTAAGTGCTTATTTTTTTCATATTATTTAATTTTTTGAGATAGTGTGTTACTGTGTTTCTCAGGCTGGCCTAGAGTCTTTAATCCTAACTCAGCATCCCAAAATCTGAAATTATAGACACACACCTTAATCTTATTTGGCTGCTGCTGCTGCTGCTTTTTTTTGTTGGTTTGTTTGTTTTTAACAACTTAATGATTTACAAAATGTATATTCCTGATGTTCACAAACATATCCAGAACAGCAGAGATTGTAGTGTAGGTGTTAACTTCTTTTGTCTCTGTTCAAATTAAGTATAATTCCATTTAATTTTACACCCTGAATTTTTTGTTTATAAGTCATAAGTACTATAACTTTTCAAGGTCGTTGTACTATTAAAAAATTTCTGTGTACTTGGGTTCCATGTGTAGTTTTGGTTTTGTTTTCTTTTTCTTTTGAGATAAGGCCTTACTAGGTAGGTAGCTCTAGCTGGCCTAGAACTTACTGTGTGGCACCCATGTGCCTTGACCTTGCATCTCTTCCTCACTGCTTCCCGAGTCCTGTGGTTGCAGGTGTGTGCCACATGTCCAGCTCCACGTGTCTTTGCCTGCTGCAAGGTATCCTCACTGATCAGAACCCAGAAAGTAAATAAGTAGGAGATTGTGTCTTTGCTGTTTTTTTTTTTTTAAATTCTATAGTGTGTGTACATAACATATGTACTTTGTGTGGGGTTGTTTTCTTTTGAGACTGTTTTATCTCAGCTAGCCTTGAACTTGTGAGTCTCCTGTCTCAAGTGCTGAGATTACATGTGTATATAATCATACCTAGCTATTTTGTGGGTTTTTGTTAATTCTTATGAGTAGTATATGTTGAAATTTGTATATGGTATTATGAATTACACAGGTAAATGTAATGAGATATTTGTAAACTACTATATATAAATCTAAAAATAGAAGTTACACGGACGTGTGTTAGGAATAGGAACTAGGAAGAAAATATAAATAGAAACATTGTAGGTTGGTCTCTTGTCTCTTATTATTGATGAGCTAAAAAAGACAGCTTTCTAGGAGATAATGAGCTATGCATACACTTGCTGAAATAAATTATTAAAACAAGACTTGGTATTTGGCAATGTTTGATAAATATGCATGTTGACCGCCGGGCAGTGGTGGCGCACGCCTTTAATCCCAGCACTCGGGAGGCAGAGGCAGGCGGATCTCTGTGAGTTCGAGGCCAGCCTGG